GGGGTCTCGCTCTTGCTCAGGCTGGTCTCGAACTCCTGAGCTCAAACAGTCCGCCCGCCTCGGCCTCCCAGAGAGCTAGGATTACAGGCGTGAGCCACCGCGCCCGGCCGACTTTGCTTTTCTTAAATCATATGAGAGTCCATAGGTACTAGGGTAATCCTATACTCACATAAAAGCTGCATTTTTCAGTTTAAGACAAAAAGGTATTTTGCACAAAGTACAAGGTTTTCATGCCTGCTGGCATAGCTGCAGCAATGACTTCATGAATTTTTTCTTTCTTTTTAAAGTGGTCCTTAGGCTGCGTTCATTTACCTTGAAATGCTGGGCTGTAGCTGCATCCTCAGTCTACGTGGTACATATCAAGCAAGTCAGCTTTTTCTTGTCATGTCATGATTTTTCTCTGCTGCTTGGGAGCACTTGAGCATCACTAGTGCCACTTCACGTGGGTCTGGATCCCATGGTGTTACTCAGGGTTTGTGGTATTACACATTAAACATGAAAAATATGTGAGAACCATAAGAGAGCACATGTTACTGCAGCATGCAATTAACTGGAGAGATGAACTGCCCACCTGGAGATGATTAGCATCAGGTGACTTTTCAGTGGCTACTCCCAACACTTGAGCTCACTGAAATAGCAGCAGGAGGTGGCTACACAATTATTATAGAAACACAGTGCATGCTACAGTTAATTTTATGCAGTTATGATTTAATATTGCATCTTTATGTTCCTTTTGTTTTTCTTGACTACAAATGGTGCTGTGTGTGCTCTGTGTTTGTATATGTTTCAATAAATTTTAACTTTTTATAACAGATTTGAGTATACTTTATGGTAGTAAATGATAGAATAGACCAGTATCTCTATATTTTATGAATTCATGACATATATTTTTCTTAATTTTTTTGGTATTTGTAGGCTATGTGGTTCACCTGTGAGTTGTTCAAATTGTCTCAAATCTCCAAAAGATTTTCCAGTGTATTTATTGAAAAAAAATTCTTGTATAAGTGGACCTGCACAGTTCAAAACCATGTTCAAATGCCAGCTGTATATATGGGTGTGTGTGTGTGTGTTAAAGAAACTGGTAATTTGTTTTGTAAAGTTTTTTCAGAATCTAGATTTTGCCATTGTTCAACTGTGGTATGATTTTGACATGTTCTTCTGGTCCCTGTATTTCCTGTCAATGGATGATAGAGGTAGATGTTTGATGAAATTTAGGTTCAGGGGTTTTTTTGTGTGTGTGTTATTGCTTGGTTTTGTTTTTGTTGCTGCCCTGTGCTTCCTTCTGTGAATTTATAAAGTCTAAACTGTCTGGCTGGTTTTGTGATTGTGGTGGCCACAGATGGATTATCATTGGCTAGATCCATTAAATTATCAGTTCTTGTAGATTTGACTTTTAGTGTTCATTACTCTCCTTGACCTTTCTGGCTTAGAATTGCGTTTCTGTTTTTTCTTGTATTCTTGGTTTACTCTGCTGTAATTTCCTTCTGTTTTTCTGCCTGTGCCTTAAGTGTTTTCTCTTCCTTAAGGTTTTGTCTTGGATACCCTTCTCACTCTGCACATTCCCTGTGTGATTTTCCTTAGTTTAGTTAACCTCTTCTACTCTGAATACCCAGAGATCCCAGCTCAGACCTTTATTCCAAGCTCCTTCTGAGTCATGTATCCTAATGCTTCCTTGGTGTCCTGCACTCTTCCCTGGGCTGCTGAGTTATCATATTCTTCTGGTTTTCTTCCTGCCTCACTGAATGCTGCTTGTCTTTTTATCCAGGTTCCCCTGAAAGGCAGTACAGCTCTGGCTGGGTTTGCATACTTTTCTGACCATTTATTAGGTAGGTTTTCTTGAGCCATTAACTTAACTTTTACATGCCTCACCTCATCTGGAGAATGAGACTAATACTGGCTTTTATAGCAATTTAGAGAATTAATATAGCCAAAGTACTTAGAAAGTTCAGTTAGTTTTTATCATAGTTATCTTCCTCCTATCTGACATTAAATGTTGCTCTCAATACCTGGTCCTTGTTCCTTGTTCCTTCTCTTCTCTTCCTTCATTCCCATGTTCTTCATCCCCATGGTTTTAAATATCGTCTTTATGCTGACGAAAGGTTTATGTTCTGGTCTTATAGATTTGAAATGTGTGGAATCTAGGTGATCTTGTGGAGAGTCTCGATGATAGAATGACTACTTAGTCCTGGCTTGAGTTGGGATGAGAGAGCTGGGCCCTTTATACCTCTCACTTCGATCTTTGGATGTCAATCCCCATGGGAAGGGAGTGTAACCTTGCTGGGACAACTCTTCTTCAGCTAGGCAGTCCCCATAGGTGAGAACTGTCAGCTGGTGGCACTCCCAGCAGCTGAAGTAGTAAGTCCTTTGTTCCGAAGGGGAATGTAGATGGCACATAACGGTATCCACTACACTCCTGCCATTTCCATCATCTCTGTGATGGGTTGGCCGTTTACCTAGTGCATCCTTATTAGGATTCATTTTTGATTCCTCCTCCTTCTTCTCCCCTCAGGTCTGTTGAAACATTTTCTGCCTTCAGAATATATATCTCAAGCTTTTCTTTTCCTCCTAACCCCTGTCACATTAACGCCATTCTGTTACATCTCCATTGACCTCCCAAGTGGTCTTCTCACCTTCGCTTTTGCTCCTTGTCCAGCGCTGCTACGTGCAGAGAGCAATCCTTTTAAACCTTATCTGATCTTTCCACTCCTGTGTCACTCATTAAAGGCTTTCCATTGTACTAGGTTCTAAACCTTTTTGGCAGCAGGGACCAGTTTCATGGAAGACAATTTTTCCTTAGACTGGGGTGGAGTAGGGTGGGGTGGTTTCAGGATGATTCAAGTGCACTACATTTATTGTGCAGTCAAACCTCTCTGCTAATGATAATCTGTATTTGCAGCCGCTCCCGGGTGATAGCATCGTTACTGCCTCAGCTCCACCTCAGATCATCAGGCATTAGATTCTCATAAGGAGCACCCAGCCTAGATCCCTTGCATGTGTGGTTTACAGTAGGGTTTGTGCTCCTGTGAGAATCTCATGCTGCCACAGATCTCACAGGAGGCGGAGCTTATGTGGTGAGGTGATGGGGAGCGGCTGTAAATACAAATGAAGCTTCATTTGCTAGGTAGGGGTCCTGCTAGGTTCCCGGCTGGCAGTTGGGCACTATAGCACTAGGATATAATACCAGCTACTGCAGGATCTGACTCCTGCTCTTGTCTGTACCATGTCAGATGCTGGTTTTCGCTTCACCAATTGTGCTTTAGCCACACTGGTTTTCTTTCACAGAAAAAGCCAAGCTGTTTCCCACATCAGGGATTTAGTTCTGATAAAGGTAGTAAAAATTTGAATTTCCTAGCTTTTGTACAGGGCTTTTACCATCCTCCTCACTCTCATTCCCAGCTATGCCTCCCCTTGCACACTGTTTCCAGCAGTGCTGATCTACTTAGGGTCGTTAATACCAGGCACATATCACTACTGCATATACCATGCTATTGTACTTATTTATTTACCTGGTGTGCCTTCCTGTACTAAATGCCTTATGGTCATAGGTGTCTAATTACCTTGTGTGCCATTACTTAACATGGAATCTCACATATAGAAGATCCTTAGTAAATTTTTGCTAAATGAAATCTAGTACAACCTATTCATTTTACAGATGAGGAAAATGAGGCCTAGAGAAGTGAGTGACTTGTGAAGGATCATCCACTAATTTGGTTATAAAGTAATCATTAGTAGTGTTTTTTGCATATTGTGTATCCTGTACTTATCTACCTATTTTATTTTGTTATTAGTTTCTATAACAGGGTTACTGTGGATAAAAAACTTTGAGCTCTGGAGTCAAACTGGGTTCAACTTCTGATTCTGCCATAAATGTTGACCTCGGGGAAGTTATTTAACCTCTTTAAGCTTCAGTTTCCTCAGCTAAATAGTAGTAGTAACAATAGTCTCTTTTACAGTATTAGTGCAAAGAGTAAATGAGATAATCTTAAAGGACAGTGCCCGGCATGGAGTAAGTAGTAACTGTGGTTATTATTGATTGTTATTATCAGCATCTGTCACTGTAATTGCCACATTACATCCTGGAAAGGCATGAGTTCTAGTTGTCATTACAGGCTGGTTCTGGTTCTTTTATAGGCAAGCTGACTGACAGAACGGCAAGCATTTTCCAAGGCAACCAAATGAAATTGAAGCTGGTCAATATCCAAAAAGCTAAAATCTCTACACCTGCATTCATAAAAGCTTTCTGCCATCATAAGCTCATTGAACTGGATGCTACTGCAGTACATGCTGACCTCCCAATCCCAGACATCATAAGTGGACTCTGCAGCAATAACTGGATCCAGGAAAACCTTCAGTGTCTCCTGTTAGACTCAACAAGCATCCCTCAAGATTCAAGACTACTTTTCTTTGGTCAGCTCACTGGTCTTCGCATTTTAAGTGTTTTCAATGTTTGTTTTCATACTGAAGACCTGGCTAATGTTTCTCACTTACCAAGACTGGAAAGCTTGGATATCTCCAACACTCTGGTCACTAACATCTCTGCATTGCTTACCTGTAAGGATCGACTCAAGTCTCTAACGATGCACTATCTGAAATGCCTGAGCATGTCCAAACCACAAATTCTTGCAGTCATTAGAGAACTTAAATGTCTGCTTCACCTTGATATTTCTGATCACAGGCAACTCAAATCAGACCTAGCTTTTCATTTGCTACAGCAGAAAGATATCCTGCCTAATGTCATATCACTGGACGTTTCTGGGGGCAATTGCATCACTGATGGAGTTGTAGAACTGTTTGTACGGCAGCGGCCTGCAATGCAATTTGTGGGACTACTGGCTACGGATGCTGGTTATTCTGACTTCTTTACTACAGAGCAAGGCTTGAGGGTTTGTGCTTATCTGAAATAAGTTTTGTTTCATTTATTCAAAATGTTATTAAGCTTTTGCTGTGCACCAGAATCTGTACTAGGTGTTAGGGTTACACAGACAGACAAAATCCTTAGCTCATCTAATAGTAATTATTGTTTACCTACTTTGTGGTAGGTTATGGGAATATAATGTTAAGATGCAGTCACAGCCTCCACGTTTTCTAGTCAACTTAATAATAATTATACATTACCTCCTATGTGCCAGATGCCATGCTGTACATATCATTGTTTTCTCCTTTAATCCTCCCATTATATGGGTGAGGAAATGCAAGTTCAGGAAGCTTTAGCTACTTACCCACAATCATGGAGCTATTAAATGGTAGAGCCGGATCCGTACCCAAGTGTTTATGATTCTAAAACTTTTGCTCTTTACCTCTTATAAGAGCTAAATATAATTGATAAAAGCAAGGTGATCAATATGACTCACATTATTTTTGGCCAGGGTATGACAAAAAGCAATTTTAAAAAGAGAATGTAAGAGAGAAGTGAGCATTGCCAGAATAAATTTATAGTTTCTTATTGTGTTCCTTTTCTTTTTCTTTTCTTTCTTTCTTTTTTTTTTTTTTTTGGGATAGGATCTCCCTCTGTCACCTGGGCTAGAGTGCAGTGGCCTCATCATAGCTCACAGCAACCTCAAATTCCTGGGCTCGAGTGCTCCTCCTGCCTCAGCCTTTTGAGTAGCTGGGACTACAGGCACACGCCACCATGCCCAGCTAATTTTTACTATTTACAGTAGAGATGAGATCTTATTCTTGTTCAGGCTGGTCTTAAAGTGACCTCAAGCAATCTTCCTGCTTTGGCCTCCCACAATGCTAGGATTATAGGCATGAGCCACAGTGCCCAGTCTCATCGTGCTGCTTTTGAATATATATTTAAATATGTGTGGTCAGGAATATTTCATTTTTTTAAAAAACAGTGGTTCTTTTTTTTTTTTTTGAGACAGAGTCTCATTCTGTTGCCCGGGCTAGAGTGAGTGCCGTGGCGTCAGCCCAGCTCACAGCAACCTCAAACTCCTGGGCTCAAGCAATCCTTCTGCCTCAGCCTCCTGAGCAGCTGGGACCACAGGCATGCGCCACGATGCCCGGCTAATTTTTTCTGTATATTTTCAGTTGTCTGATTAATTTCTTTCTATTTTTAGTAGAGACGGAGTCTCGCTCTTGCTCAGGCTGGCTTCGAACTCCTGAGCTCAAACAGTCCGCCTGCCTCGGCCTCCCACAGTGCTAGGATTACAGGCATGAGCCACTGCGCCCGGCCCAAAACAGTGGTTCTTTACCTTGGTGTTGTACATTGTAATCACTTTGGAAGCTTAAAAATACACTGATACCTATGTCCCATCCCTGAAGGATTCTGATTTAATTGGTCTGGGACATGGCCTGGGCATCAGAATTTTAGAAGCTCCCAGGTAATTCTAATGTGCTGCCAAGGTTCAGTCATTGCTTTAAAAGAACCCTTTTTACAATCATGCCTCCTGTAGTTCTTCCTAAGGGGAGAGGATAAAGTGATTTGTAGAGTCATTAGTTGTGTGCATATCTTGCTCTTTTGATCTGAAAGTAGCACTTGTTTGTATTTTAAAGTCCTTTAATTTTCTGGCATTTCTAACAAGGATGGAAGCCATCAGTTACATCCTTGAAATAGAGATATAAACTGAACTTTTGGATTAATGTGTATAGTAGAGAGTTGTTTTCCAGGAATGTACAGTTAGGCTTACCTCAGATTTATAGCATTTAATGTCATAATGATTAAAAGACAACAGTGATGAAAAAAAATATTTTAACACACTTAACTCTTGGTATATATACAGTAATATGGGACAAGTGCTAGAATACCTTTTAGGGGGATGAAGCATGTAGTTGAGATACTGTCAAAGCAAGTATACCAAAAGAAAATGAGAGAAGTTTTGTTTCAGTAAACTTATCTGGTATATAAGTTTAGATCATTTTGAAATTTAAAATTATGCATCATATGTAGTGTTAGATATTGTAGGGAGAGGGGAAACCACAATCTTCCCAGTGCTAAGAACCTCTAAAGATCTTCATCTAGCCCAATGTGGAGTGTAAGGTATGGTAAGTTTAAAAGGCTTGTTTTGGAAAAACTTTTGTTTAATGTAAGTATGTATGTGTCTTTCAAATCAGATGCACAATATACCAAGTATTTTTGTTGTTTGAGTTGATCAAAAAATTTGCTTACATGAAGATGGATAAAATAGGCCGGGCGAGGTGGCTCACGCCTATAATCCTAGCACTCTGGGAGGCCAAGGCGGGAGGATCGCTCGAGATCAGGAGTTCGAGACCAGCCTGAGCAAGAGCGAGACCCCGTCTCTACCAAAAATAGAAAGAAATTATCTGGACAACTAAAAATATATATAGAAAAAATTATCTGGGCATGGTGGCGCATGCCTGTAGTCCCAGCCATTCGGGAGGCTGATGCAGAAGGATTGCTTGAGCCCAGGAGTTTGAGGTTGCTGTGAGCTAGGCTGACACCATGGCACTCTAGCCTGGGCAACAGAGTGAGACTCTGTCTCAAAAAAAAAAAAAAAGAAGTATCCGTTTCTGTCTTCTCAGGTGTTTTTAGTACAAATGGCAGTTGGATTTTATCAAAGTCTTTTTTAGAATCTATTTTGATACTCAGATGATTTTTTTTCTTCTTAGACCTATTAGTATGGTGATTTAATTGATTTCCTAATATTGACTCATTTTTGTATTGTTAGCATAAAGCCCACTTGGTCATATGTTATTTTCTTCATGTGGTGTATTTGTTCACCAAGAGTTTATTTAATATTTTTATAGTGATAGTCATAAGTAATATTGAACTAGTTTTCTTTTTTGTGCTTCCCTTGTCACATTTAGTTATTAGGGTTATACTTGATTCATAAAACACAAATTTGGAGTTTTTCATTCTTTTTCTATCCTCTGAAACAATTTACATAGCATAAGGACTAGTTCATGATTATTTCTGCTATGGCCTTTCTATCTCCCTATTGGTGAGTTTTGGCAAACTGTATTTCCTAAAAATAGGAAATTATCTATTTCATCTAAGGTTTTATATTTATTCTTTGTCATTTAAAATTTTTATGTTTGTATTTCTCCCTCTTTTTCCTAAGTAAATTAGTGATTTTTTTCTTCGTTCTGTCATTAAGTTCAGCTTTTACCTTTCCTGTGTTTTGATTTTGATTTACTTTATTGTTCTTTTCTAGCTTTTTATTTTTTTATTTTTTTTTATTTTTTTTTG